ACGCACAACACGCTTAAATATATACAACAAAAAATTTAGTAACTGGTTCTCAAATAATTAAGAATGTAATAAAGTTGAAAAGAGAAATTCCTTATAGAAGTACTCAAGAAACAAGACAATATCGAATTGATGAATCTACGAGTCAGATATTATTATCATCATTGTTTTTATTTAATTTTAAATAAAAATTTTTATATACCAATAACGATTTTCAATTAATCACGTGTGAATATTATTGTTTATTTGACACGTCTTAAAAAATCTCGTTCAAAACAATTTCCTTTAGCTGTTAAAAAAATATGGCAAATGATCAAAAGTTGGAAAATTTGGCTAAAGCATTGCTTTCAAAATCTGCAGAAAATCCTTGGTTGATTCCTTCGATAGTAAATCCTGCTCTTCAAAAAGAAGTTATACTTTACATGCTAAAAAACTGGAGTTTGCATAATTCTAAAGAAAAATTGGCAATATTCTTTCTAATTTTATGTGTAAAAAAAAGTACCGTGACAGCATTACAGGAATTGCTATCAGAAGTAAATCATTAAAGATATAAATATTTATAATTTTAAATTATTTAGTAAAAAAAAATTAATTTTCTATAAAGATACTTTTGGCAGGTGCTTCTGATTTGGACGATTGTTGGGTTTGTGTTTTCTCAAAGATGATGATTAATTATCCTAAAACTGGTGAACTTGATTTGACTGTTGAGAATTATCTTCCTAGAGAAATACAACAACAATTTAATGAATTGATTAATAAAAGTAGACATTGTTAACTCTTAAATATATTGATTAATTCGTCTACTTATTTATATTTATATAAATATATTTATACATACAGTAATGAAAAGTGAAATAAGGCTTCATCCTATGGAATTTGCGTTCATTGATAAAGATATTTGTAATTTGTTATCAAAAACATCAGAATCAGAAGCATCATTCAGCACATCATCATCACTATATTTTCAATTAAAGCCAAAATGCGAGATTTCAAGGGAACTGCGATTAAATACATTAAAAAATTTGGATGTTCCTAGATCGCAAAATATACTTCAAAATACAGGAACCAACCTAATAAATTCTTTCAGAGGTTATTAATATATTATATGCATACATTTACATACGTTCGTATATATTAATTCACAATTTCTCTGATGTAAAATTAATCAGGTGCAGAGATCAAAATAATTCCAGGAAAGAGCTATATTAAAGATACGAAAATTCGAATGTTGGATCAAGATGTTGGAATTTCTATTATCAGAAATCAAAAAGAAAAAAAACTTTTTGTTAGTAAGGGTAAGAAAATATAGTCAGTCAGAAATCGACTGAATTTGGGGTTTCTACATAATATAACATATTATGCAATTTCCATTATATTATTTCCAAAAAAGTTTGATTTCGTAATAAAAAAACAACATTTTTCCTTCAATCAATTTAAAAATCCTCCTCCCCAAAAACACTTATGGAAAAACTCGAATCACTAGAATCGTAATAGTGAGATTATCTGCCAATTAACTGGTTAGCTATACAACCAATTATAGTTAACTTTCAATAAATGCACGAAGTCATATGATCATAATTTGGGCTATGTCAAAATATATAAAATATAAAAAATATTTTTATTATTATTATTATTTTCAAAAATGGAAATTCTTAAAATTTTGCTTATAGCCGCAGCACTTATGATAATCATTTTTTTGAGAGTATATATCCTCCTTCTTCTCCAGAAAAATACAATCGACAAATTTTAGTTTTAACATTTCAAAATGGCTGAACTTGATTCTGATTGGTATTTTGGTTCGAGAATATCTAACGAATCTAAAAGTGAATTTTCTGAATCTCGTGATGACGACACTGGAAATAGTGTGGTTACTGACAATACAAATGATACATCCATCAAATATACAAATTTAAATTGCGAAAATTCCGTGCTTCAGCCACTTATTATTGATCTAGATTCAAGCTCTGACGAAGAAAGTGATTCCTCGTTTGAAGAAGTTATCAGTCTAAATCTAAATAAAATAAAACAAGAACAAGCAAGACTCGCCTTGTTGGAGAAGGAGTCACAAATGGACATGAATGAAGTAATAATGATAAACGACTCTTCAAATAATTCACAATCCTCAATATCATCATCATCATCATCACCTGACTCGGAATACCATGATAATAATAGTAATAATGCTGCATATCAAATCCCTGAATTTCCACCATGTCCACTTGGATCAAATAAAAAACCAGCTGTACATATATTGAAGGCTTCAAAGTTCAAACAATCAACAAAATTATTCGCACCACCTACATCAAATGTCGATGATGGATCTGCTTGGATACCTGAACCAAACCAATCACAACTTCCAATTGAATCTCGTAAAGAAGATATCATCAAAATTATTCGTGACAACAGAGTAATTGTTTTAAGTGGTAGTACTGGCTGTGGAAAGGTAATTCATCATTAAAAAAAAAATATATATATATATGAAAACATCAATTTATGAAAACGAAATATTAATTATAATTTTTATAATTAGTCCACTCAAGTACCACAATATATATTGGACGACTGTTTACAAAGAGGTGTTCCTGTTAATATAATTTGTACACAACCGGTAACTTTACATACGAGTTGTCATTTTTTTTATTTTATTTTTCAAAATTTATTATTAATATAATTTTTTCTTCCTTGGACCTCATACAATCTAATGCTAGCGTCGTATTGCTGCAACTTCTTTAGCGCATCGTGTTGCATTGGAAAGAAATACTAAGCTTCACGGCCAAGTAGGATATCATGTCAGTGGTAAATGTGGTCACTCAGCTATAACAAGGTTACGTTATGTTACTACAGGAATTTTATTGGAGATGTTGAAGGCAGACAGGTATTTGGCCTCATTTACTCATGTCATTATGGATGAAGTAAGTTTATAAGAATAAAATTATGTTTATTCAGCAAAATGCAAAATTAATGATTGACAAAAAAAAATTTTTCCTTACCAGATTCATGAACGCAATGTAGATGATGATATGATGATGGCTCATCTTTGTGTTATATTAAGAGTAAATCCTAATTTGAAATTAATAATAATGTCGGTAAGTTACCTTCTCAACAATTAACAAAGTATACACACAAAAACTTATTCAATTTATTTTCTCACAACTTATTTTGTTCTTGTTTACAGGCTACAATGAATGTTAAAAAATTTGCTAATTATTTTCATGAATTTGAAGCTGAAAAGGATGGTTTTTTCAATAAAATACCATGGATAGATATTCCTAAAAAAGCTTTTCCTGTTGATGTGTTTTATCTAGAGGATGTGTGTCAAGCATTAGATATTTCTTTTTCGAATAGAGATGTAATAATGAATAACCCAAAAAAACCTTCTATGATGCAAGAACGTCGTGATCTTTTTATCAATTGGATATTTCGATGTCATATACAAACTCCTTCTGATAAGGCCTTTTTGGTTTTTTTCCCTGGTATTGCTATAATTGCTGAAGTAGTAAGTTTTATTATTTGTTTATAATGTGTTTATAATAATATAAATCAATTATATTCAAATAAATTTTTTTTTGGTAAAGGAAGATCAATTGATGTACCTTGATGAAAATTATAGGTAAAATAAAAATATATATATTAGCATACTTTTAGGTTCATCCACTTTTTACATTGTATAGACACATTTTATAAAATTTAGGTCCGAGTTTCCTTATACTGATGGAAAGCCTACTCCTGCAATCTCATTGATTAAACTACACTCAACTGTTACTATTGATGAACAATGTTTAATTATGCAGAGACCAAGACCATGTCATAGAAAAGTAATGTACTAAAATTTTTTTCAATGATTTTCTGATCTCATTTTCTTATGCCATTTAATAAATTTTATTTCCTTACTATTTATTTATTTAACAATTTGATATTTAATGATTTAATAATTTAGATAATATTGGCAACAAATATTGCCGAGAGCTCTATTACTGTTCCCGATGTCTCCATAATATTTGATTCTTGTTTGCGTAAAGATTTACTTTATGATAAAGAAACTAGATGTTACAGTTTAAATGAACAATGGATAAGTAAAGATTGCGCCGAGCAAAGAAGAGGAAGAGCTGGAAGAGTTGGTCCTGGTGTGGTAATGTATATATAAAAAGAAAAAATTATATTGAATTTCACTTCAGTATTTGTAATATTCTTTTTTTTTGTATTTTACATTCAAATTAGATTTATCGATTTGTACCTAAAAATTTCTTTAAAAATCTTTCTGATGAAAGAACACCCGAGATTCATAGAACACCACTTAATTCTTTACTTTTACGGTGCATATATGGGAACCTCGGTGATCCTCGTGAATTATTATCTCATTGCATTGATCCTCCAGATGATACAGCTGTTGAATATGCATTAGAAGATTTGGAAACAACTGGTGCTGTTACTAAATCAAAAGAAAATATTAAAGAATCTGATGATTGGGTTCAAGGTAGTCTTGTTACATATGAATATGAGGTCACTCGTCTTGGTACAATTTTGGCACAAGTTCCTTTGGATATTCATTCTGGCCTATTAGTAGTTTATGGTGCAATTTTTGGTGCTTTATACGATTGTATGATTATTGCTGGTAAATTATCGATTCTCAGTTTATATTAATATATATGTATATATATATATTTATTAAAATTATTATAATTATTATAGCAATATTGCAAAACAAAGGAGTCATTGTTCAACCTCCAAATCAAGAAATAGCTATCAGTGCAGCATTAAAAAGATTTCACTTGGATTTACCCGACTGTCAGCCATTACATGGTGGCTCTGATTTAATAGCACAATTACGTGGATATCTTTTATGGGAAGAAACTATACAAAACAATGATGATTTTGATCAGAGCAAGGAACCAACATGGTGTCAACAACAGTTTGTTAGCCTTTATTGGATAAGAGAAATACAAGATCTTGTCATCACTCTTCGAGAATCTTTATCTCATCAGGGTATATGTTCGGCTGCTACAAAAGAAGAAAGAGACAAAATACGTAGAAATCGTGTGTTTAATCCTAATTTAATTGAAAATATACATGAAAGTAAAGGTGACGAATTGGGAAATGATCTTAAAGATGAAGAGGAGAGATCAGAGACAAGTCAAGGAACTGAATCATCAAGTGACATCAAACGAGCAATTCTATTTCTTGATATGGCAGCAGCATCTGAAGAAACTTCAAGTCTAAAAAAAAAAGATCCAAGTTCAGAATTGCCAGAACTTAATTTACATAACAATCATTCAAATTCTTATAGAAAGGTTCATGAAGCACCTAGTATTATGCAAAAAAATACAAATCCTTGGATGAATACGTTTGATCGTGCATATGAAATAACATCAAATCAAGTCGAATTGAAAAGAGAACCTAACATTCTATTAATCAATCTTTTGCTAGTGGCAGCTTTTCACCATAATATGTTGCGAATTGTACCAAATATTGACAATCGTGTATTCAAAAATTGTCCAGAAATTTTCAATCAAGAACGTACAATTGAATTTTTGGCTACAATTCTTCCCCCAAAATCAATTATTATAGATGCACTTGAAAGAGATATTGGAATGGTGCAAAAAATCTTACATCCTGATAATGAACAGTTTTGCTCTGATGCAGAGTTTGAATCTTGTTATATCGAATTTGCAAAACCTTGTAAACCTTTATGGACACATTCAACCATCAGAAATGTCCCAGCACTACCAGATGCTGTTTTTTTGGCACATAAATTTAGAAACGTAAAAAATTGCATCT